CACGCGAGGTTATAGTAACCTGCCCATCGGCGAGATAATAGAAAATTAAACAAAATTTCGTTTTCAGGATATTGTTTTTAAGGGTCACAAGTACCCTCCGTAATAATATGATTCCCATTCAGTGTTACACCCTGTATAACGGTATGAAGTTATCACACAAAAATTTTTGAATATAGTATGTAAAAAATATGTATAGTCTTTTCAGTGACTTAATATCTGACCTAGATTACAGTTTTACTTTGCAAGACGAATATTTCGAAGGATCGTATTACCGGTATTTTTAGTGAAATAATTTGTAACATTTCTAGAAACATTTATTTTTTTCCGAAACTTCAATTTATTATCGCAGTTCCAAGTCACGCAAAGTTGCCGTTTTGAATAGGGGGAGGCATATCTACGGGACGCCTTGACATTCACTTGATCGATTACTGTGAGTAAAAATAAACTGATTCCTTTCAGAGCTACAAGGTATGGGAAATACTAAATGTAACTTAATGAAAAACGAACAATATTCGTCACATCGTAACATATACCGGGATAGGTCAGACTACACAAAAAAGACCAAAAAAGATGGAATATTATTTTAAGTCCTGCTCAAATCTAATACACCTTCAAGATACAGAAATATAAGATATTCTCAAATTTTATGCTATGTTTTTGTAAAAGACGTTTAACATTTTGTTATATGACACGTGAAAGGATACAAGATGTCAAAGTTAAAATTTTGAATACAAAATTCTGAAAATTTTTAGAAAGTTGTCAGTGAATTGCTTTGAAAATTTCGATTTGGGGTTTTTCTGGGACGAGGAAGACGAATCCGTACCTAACTTTACTCTAGACGCCAGAGGGTGCTACAAATTGTAGGTACTCTTGAAGGATAAACATCAGAACTTTTTATTTTTAATTGTATAATATGAAAGTTTTGACAGAAAAATCTCTCGTAACTTTTTGACACAAATATATGCCAGTTTCAAGTCGCGAAATTTAACCGTTTTCAATTTATTTGCTGTTTTTCCATTCCATTTCATTAGTAAACAAGTTGGAACGAGGCATTTTTATTAAATGTGCTTTATTTACTTTAGAATTATTAAAAACGAGATTAAAAAAAGATAAATACTAGGAACAAGCGATACTTCAAGTTATTGAAAATAAAACTCGTGTCTAGACCAAAGGTAAATAACTTGATTTTTTTTTAATGGTTACTTGTTACTTGCAAACTTAAACTTCTTTTTCCTCCTGATGCTTTTAACGATGTCAACTAAGAATACCTATTATTCATAGAAAGATAATACCCAGAAACCAGAATGTACTTTCCTGAAAGATTTTGGTGCATTAAATTCGAATCCGAGGGCCAAATTTCTCAATTGGTTCTGGTTTTCTAGATATCCTAACCTAAAAGTGTCAAAATCACGATTTGTAGACATATTTGAGGTTATGTTACATGAATAGATACATTTTTTTCCTAAAACGATTAATGGAGTCTTGACCATAGACCACCTAGACTGGCTTATAGAGCGACTTTGGTGAAACACTTTGGAGCCTGATTTGGAGCCCAGCAGTCAGTCGTGTCCTAGCATTTGACGTGTACGCATCGCTGTGATTTCGATAATTAGACGTTTTATCATGGGCAAGTGTATTGTAAAACATTGTATAAATAGAAGTGATCGAGTTGGTGAAGAGAGGCGAAAAGTTTCCTTCTTTAGGTGAGTAATAAAAAGGAATATATAAAAGGTAAATATGTACGCCATTTTTCGGTTAACGTCACAAGTTTCCAGGGTTAGCTTTATAATTTTGTTCGCCCACATAGTGTAGTGATTAACGTGATATTGTTATTATAAAATAATGAATGAATTACTGTAAAATATTTTTAGTAATTATTTACTTTATGTGAGTCTTAAATTTTTATGAAATTTTACCAATTCCCGTCATTTCGAGATAGCTGAAAATTAATTAAATATTTTTTTCAATTAAAAAAATCGCAAACAAAACTAATTTCAGATTCAGTATTCGTACAGTCAATTAATTTTTATTAAAGATCGTGGTTGTTTGACGTATCCATCTCGAGATGTCGTAGTAATATGCTAAGAAACAGAAAAATTAATAAAATTTTTAAATAATGATGAAAGCAGAACACCTAGGCTACAGAAAAATAAAATTGTTTATCATGTATTAAAAAACTTTCTGAATGTGAACATATTTGAAAATTTGCATGAACATCAATTTGATAATTTGCCTAACAATTGTAATCATTTAATAGAACTTGTAAGGGCTGAATGTGAAAAGTATATCGATGTACGAATAAATCATGAAGTCAAATTATTTAATTCGGTAAAATCTACGAAAAGGCAAATATTAAATAAATTAATATTATTTAGAGGACAATAAATATATTTAAATTATTTTGTAGTTTTATTTAATATGACACTAAAATATACTATTTTCTGAATTACAAACTTAAAATTGAATATTTGTCATAAGATGCAATATATGTAATGTTTAATATGTAATAAAAATATTACTTAATCCGGATCTGCTTAAACATGCGCGCGATCAGATTGCCTTCCACACTCCACGTCCCCGGATTTTGCATTCACTGGTACCCGTGCATTGGAATTAGATACGGCCAGTCTAGGTGGTCTGTGGGTCTTAACTAATACTTTGATTTATTTCTCACACAGCATCACAAACCTAAATTCATCCGCACCCGGATGTAGGGATCTTACATGATTTTGGGGTCGCTGATTATGAATCTGATCTCCAAAATACTCTATCACGTCAAATTTTGCAATAAACTTTAAAAAAATGTCTAAAAATTCGACATATGTTCGATATTTTACGCATTATGTCAATTTGGAAATACATTTACATGCAAAGGAGGCTAATACGTTCAATCGTGAAGTCATAAACCCTAAGCCCATAAAGCCATAAGGTTTGTGGTGCTGTGTTTTGAATATACATATTCAAAAATCGAGAAATAAGTCAAACTACTAAATTTCAACATGCGATTTCTCAAAGACGAAAAATGATATCGAGATAAATCCAAGTGCGTTTTAAAGAGTAAGCATAGACCCCATTAATGATTTCAGCAAAAAAAATTACCTTTCCATGTAACATAACCTCAAATATGTTAAAAAATTACGATGTTGGCACTTTTAGGTTAGGATATCTGAAAACCAGCGCCAATTGAGAAATTTGGGCCTCGGATTTGAATTCGTATATAAGTATATTCGTATTGTTAAGTTAAAATTTTGCCGGTCTGTGTGATCATTTTATAATATCACATACTGTGAAGACCAAAAAAGTTAAACCATTTATTTATTTTGAAGAGAGGAGGATGAAAAGATGAATTAATTGTTTTTATTGGGAGCCCCTGGCCTAAATAAGGCCACTACAAATTTTTGTGTTTTAAATTTAAGACAATTGCAAATTTCAAGGCAATATGTTAATAAAAAGTTATAAATAAACCTGAAATCAGTAGGCACATAAATTTACACACTCATCGTATCAAATAAATTGTAAACCATATTTCTTATGCAGTCCAACGCATTCCTTGTGGGCATATTGTGAGCGTATTAAGGCGCGTTCCCACGACGCGCGGTTCGGCAACTGGACCGACCATAAATCAAGTTATCGTTCGGCTTTGACTTGATAACAACTAGCGTGGTGAAATTAATTTATCTGCGGTTTGCTCGCGGAACCACGCGTCGTGGGAAAGCGGCTTTACACAGGAGGATATATTTCAGGAACTGTATTTTCACAAACAAAACAATATCAAATTTCTTTAAGGTGCAATTTTTTTTTGTTAGACATCAAACGCCGTTTTGATATACTGGGCATATTATATTAAACAGAGCTTCACGTCGTCGATATAAATTGGCTTTATTAGAGAATACCTTAAAATATCTGTTGTTCATTAAAAGCAAAGTAAGGAAAATTTAAACAAAACTTTGTTAACATTAGTAGAAAAATAGTTGCTGTCTGATAACTTGCACTATTTTTTTCTTAATAAGACTGTTTTCTAGTTTACGCTTTTATCTGTTACGATATTGAAGTGTTTTTAATAACCTGTATCAAAATGATATACAGGGTGATTCAAATTCAGTTTGTCGTCAGCATCGACCATTTTCAAGAAAATACCCCTCAAATCCTCAAAAATGGGATATTTGCGAATATGCTTAAGGATTGTACTCTAGTAAGAAAACTTCCATATTTTCGGGCTCGCTGAACACTAATCTACAAACAAGAATGGATGAAAAGTAGGATACAGTGACAGTTAAATGGACAGTTGTAGCATTTAAAATTACTACCGCCAGAAAAGTACTTAAAATTTGTAAAATCATATTAATTACTTTATGAATAACTAATTTTACAATTACAATGTAATAAGGTAACAGAAAAATTAAAATACTTGATAAGTGATATTGTAAAATTTAATGGAAAATACTTATACAGGTAACGGTAATAACAATATAAAAATATATATATTATCTACATTAGAATACCACAACTTTAAATAAAAGATGACGTAGGTGCATTTGTTTAAAACTGGTTCACAATTTATATGAATCCATATATTTCTTCGGTTTACAGTAACTTACCAAGTTACCTACAAAAAGAAAAAAGGTTAATTACTAATTACTAACTACCAAATACTTACCATCAAATAAATCTTCTTATTTAACAGTCCCATTCATCAGGTATTGAGTGTCACATATGTCTACCATCTGTATTTGTATTTCTGGTTGCCGAGTTCATCAATCGTTTATTCCGGAAATGTTACCCCCACCAAATCAAAGTACTTCCGTGGTACTAGAACCTTCGAGTTCTCAGAGAATCGAGCAGGGAGTTGAATTTTAGTAGGCGATGGGATAAGGTGTGCGGGTTATAAACCACCAATCTTCCTACATTTGGGGATCTGAAAATTGCACACGAAAAATCCACGCCATTCACTCCTCGATGTCTACCGATAGTATCCCAAGAAATTGAACTCAGCCTCTTCAAGACATCCGATTGTGTAACTAACATCTGCAGCCAAGCTCCAGTTTTTTTTGTACATACTTTTTCTTCTTAGTCCTACAAATCTCTTTTAAAAAGGTGAGTTTAAGTTTTGTTTATTATCTTCCCAAAGAAAAAGAACGTTAGGGATGGGGTTTAATTATTTTTTTTTCCTCCATATTTTTAGAGATTAACGGACAGGCTAAATTTACGGACAGGCTAAATTTAAGGACAAACTAAAATTTAAGGATGGGCCAGAATTGAGGGCAATATGGTTTTTTTTAATTTAAATTCTAAGTGGAAAACGTCTTCCGTGCTGTTTCTCCAGTTCCCGAGTCCCAATCTAGGCGCAGATATACCGCTCCACCCAATTTAGGACCTGACGTCGCCATTTTCCTCCATCCACAGGACTCGACCATTTCATCGAGAAGCCGCCAGGACAGATAAGAACTTTTTTTATACTCTCTATCCTTTTATGAATCAGTCAAAGTAAGACAGAAATACATATTACCTACATAAATTTTTATATAAGCGTTATAATAATCTTTTGATGAAACATACTCAATGCACGCATTTATAAATATCTATATATAATATGTTTATTTAAAATATGAAATTGTTACGCTAAAGCATAGTACTATGAATAAGCGAGATTTGGAGTAACTCCAATAACATAAACGTGTTCTTTATCCTAATTACATATTGTTTCTCAAATTAATAATCGCTTGGAACATTAAATTAATCACTTTATAACCCTATCATTCTTTAGTAGGTATTATATATCTGATTTCACTAATACGAATTATTTCTTTATAAAATGTTCTTATATTTGTCTGAAGCGAATAACCATTGGTCTGAGATTTAGAATAAATATTTTTGTTTTTTTATTTTTCTCACTTATTTTCACTCACCCTGTATATGTGACTAATAAATATCAGAGTCTCAGTAAAACCCTAACTTTATGAAGTGTTCTGACTTTCGTAACTTTGCAGAATACAGCTAGATAACTTACACTCATAAGTTACGTGGCGCCCTAATTTAACACCATACTGTATATACAATTTTAGCTAGCTGCTTCCTAACCTACGACCCGCTCTCACGACGAAAAGCTGCCGTTATGTGTGATTTTCTTGTGATTAAAAATAAATGTAAAATAAATAAAGAATAAAACAACCCCAATACCTATTTTGATAATCAAAAGAAAAAATAACACGGCACAGTGAAGAAGAATATATACCGAGTGATGGAAACAAACATCCGCAAATTTTAGTCAGAGTGAGTTAGATTATTTTATTGTCAACCTAGGTTTACCAAAAGAATAAATATTTAGCTGGAGAACTGAAATTGAAAAATCCTTTATCTGAAGTAACCAAATCTTCAATGTATCGATGATTTGATTTTTTGTCATATAAAGAAGGAATATTAGCCTCAAAAACCCCGAGGTAACGAGTTTCGGCTAAGTTTATAACAAATTTCCACAAAACTCCAGGAAACGATGTGAAAACCGGCCACCCTGGGCACTAAGTACCTCGGAGACCGTTGCCGTCATGATATTCGTGTTCAGCGACCCCAAAAACCCCCGAGTAGCAAAATTGAACTCATTTCCGTCAATATTTTCCGAGTTATAAATTTTTCATATTTTAACTCTTCGAGATGCAACTTTAAAAATGCATTTTTCTTATGCACCGATGCAATTATCATTTCTCATTGATCACATAGAGTCACAAACTTTCTGGACGCTCTAACGAATCGAATGCAAAAAACCGCATCACGATCCATCTTACTGCACAGATTTCGGAAGTTCAGTGTTTCATTTCTTCGACTATTAGAGGTAAAAAAGAGAAGTAGAAACTACATAGAGCTTTTGAAGACAAAAGCATTTGCTAGAACCCAAAGCGTTAATTTAAAAAATAACTACATTTTTACACCTAATCACATACCTCACTGGTATATTCGTGAAATACCCTTATATGAATGGATTGGGCATTTTCTCGATAGTGATTATTGCTGGTGGTAAACTGATTTTAGGTTCATGTTCAGCGTGTGTCCGAAATTATGAGGGTAGATTTATGGAATCCATTATACGGACCAGCTAAAATTATAATTTTTATTAAAAGTGTTAGTTTCGCGTTAAATGAACTTTAAAAAGAACTACCACTTCAAAGCACTTATATTGACTTATGTTGACCACCATCACATTAGATAGTTGCTGCCGGGAATGCCGCGCGTTCAACATTCATTTCCTCGGCAAATTACTATAATATAAACATATTTCCTTGACCGCGCGTCAGTGCTGTGTCGTAAAGCGAGCGAAACTTCAAGTGCACGGACGCAATAAGTCACATGATATTCGCCTACGCCGTCTTATTAATCAGTCTTGACATTGAACTCATTACTCCCGCGGTGCATAAAATAGTAGGCAGTGAGTCAGACGGCTGCAGAATACGTAGGTGTAATTAAAATGCCTCCTTTGATGCCCATTGATATGTAATCGTATGTGGTGGGTTGCGGAAGGTCTTTTTGCCACAACCCCATTAAAATGGAAATTAATAGTTTTTTTTTTAGTACCTACGGTGTAAATCGTGTTACGGATCGCATACTTTTAAATAAACCGCTCCATTTTTATCAGAAATATTTTAGATATGAAAAAAATAATCATTTTGTATGGATAAAAAAGGATGAAATCCTGTAGGAATTCAGGGTATCGCAGAAAATACTAAAGGTATAAAGAATTAATGATACTTTGTGATATAGTTGTTACGATGTCAATTGGAATCTGTAAATCTTAAAGCACAGGACCGTATGCACTTCTCCTGAAATTTCTTCTTATGCTTTAACCATGATGTGTCTCGTAATTTATACTCGAATAGCAATTTGGCGAGTCCGGTATTGGTAAACTAGTCCACCTGATGTAGAATTGACGGCGGCGCGCTGGTCATCAAAGCAAAGCTGTATTGGTCCACTAGGTCGTACATTTTTTTGTATGGTACACGGGTTCACTTAGCTTTGCCGCTTTGCCAGTGCCGTGCAGAGCATTGCTTGGCGGGATATTTTGTTGGTATAGTACGTATTATTATTTATTAGTTGATATTATTATTTGTTCATATAGTAACCAGTAAAGGGTAAGTTATTAAAATAAATGTTATATGTAATTATCTAGTAATTTAGCGTTGGTTGGAGACTCTTTGAAGCGGAGGATAACGAAATAACTCGGGAAAATCCCCAAATAGCGCAACCGGTTTTTGTCGAAAATATCGAAACAAACTCAGAGTTTAAAAACAAATATTTACACGTAAAAAGTCAACGTATTATATTAAATATATATGAATGTTTGAAAATAGTGAATAATGTGATAAAAAAGTTAAGAAACGGATTAACGAATTTACTAAGATATACAAAAAAGGTCAATTTATCGCGTAATTAAAGAAAGATTGATCACGGTACAAAGAGAAAACGGAAAAATACAAAATGAAAGAAAATTTACTATTTTACCAGATGTAATGCGGCGCATAAGCACAATTTATAATATGTATAAAAGAGAATAAAGTTCCTACTGTAAACATGATTCGAAATAAATTAAGCGATTATCCTGATTATAATTATAAATCTTTAGATACTTTACGACATGTTTTATTACAATGCGGTTTTAAACATAAAAAACTTGACAATCGTATGGTAATTATGGAATCACGACGTATAGTTGCACTTCGGGAAGATTATTTACAAAA